CCCCCAAAGCCCTTAACCGTGAGCCCCCCCAAGTCTCGAAGCTTATCAAAAGCTATACGCGACGAAGCTTTTTACAGTGCTGTGTGCAGCAGCAGCACCCTCGAGGACATTTTGGAACGCTAAGGTCCTACTCCTTTCATGGCGTCCCGTTCATTGCATACTGTCTAGCCGAGACCATATAGAAATTTTGCCCAGTGCAGACCTTATTTATGGCCCTGTGCAACCCTTTAACTAGGCCCATTCCTGTCAGGAACTTGCGCCACACCGTGGGTCAGTTTCTCGTAGAGACGCTGGGCGTCGACTGGCGCATCGGCGAGGAGATCCGATGCAAACCCACATCTGCAGGTGTAGGTTTAGGGTTGAGGGTTTATCCCCGAAGGAGGATGAGAGTAACTATGTGCTACACTGCTTTGTTAACAGGGCAGTAGTGAATATGATGCTTAAGATTTTCATGGCAACCCGAAACCTTCGACTCTCAAGTACAACACAGTATGACAGATACCAAAGGTCTTTCCAGCAGCGATAATGAGAAGAACAGATCCGTGGTGACCTGAAAGCTTAGGCTCAGGCTTTGGTGTGGGGAACCCTAAACCCTAAACCCTAAACCCCTAAACCCTAAACCCTAAACCCCTAAACCCTAAACCCTAAACCCTAAACCCCTAAACCCTAAACCCTAAGCCAAACCCTGGTTTTGGATCTTTGGGCTCAGAGCCTTCGAGCGGGCCTTGGGGGATTCGGGCTCGGATCTGTGCTTAGGGTTTAATGTTTAGGGTTTAGGGTTTAGGGTTTAGGGTTTAGGGTGGGATATAGCTAGCTGGAACTGTATAGTCGTAGTATTCTGCACAGAGTAGGGATCAGGTTCAGGGTTTAATGATGATGTTTTGGGTTTGGCGGCGCTACTTCCCGGATGCAATAGTCTGGAAGCGCTGCTTCCCATCTGATTGGCAGAGCCTGGGTTCAAAAAATGATGCTTTGCCATACTGCATGGCCAACGCCGGTCTCGTATACAGGACCCAAACGACTTAGGTCCACTTTGGTGTTAGGTGTGGGGCTCACCTCTAGGATTTGAGATTTAGGGAGTAGCAGCCTACTAACTAGACAAGTTCTTAGTAGCTGAGTGGATACACTTTACACTTTTTGGGTTAATATTACCCACTATAAAACTGAAAGTGTACACTTTTTGCGGCTTATGAACTCGGCAACTAAGAGTTAGCTTGTGTGGTAGGAGTGGTTTCACATCACGCTGGTGGATAGCGACCTGGCCATCAACTCCATGATGTGGCAGCACCAGGGGCTAACAGGCCAGGTTTAGGGTTTAGGGTTCAGGGTTCAGGGTTTAGGGTTTAGGGTTTCAGAAGTTTTAGAGCTTACGGCTTTGAGTCGAAGGATTACCTATAGTCTCCATTGTAGTTCCTTTTTGGTGCGACTTTATAGGATCCCAAGATATAAACTGGTTAAACCAAACAAGAAAGGAACTACCATGGAGAGTATAGGTAGGGTTTATGGGCCCAGAACGTGTCTTACATGCTGAGAGGGAGACGAAAGTCTGTTGTGTGAAAGGGGCAACGAGCTGGAGCTTTAAAATCCTGAGGCCCCGAAGCCGTTGGAGCAACATTTTAGTTTGGTGCGGAGGTTGCAACTGGAAGAGCCTTGAAACATTCAAACCCCAGACAAGTCATCAGAAGATGGACTTATTCAGAGTGCTGAAGGCTTGAGCTTCACTGCTGCTGCGGAAAAACACTGTTTGTGCTTGAGAGCTGAAGCCCTTCCAGAACCTGCCCCAACTTCCCCGAACTTAGCAAAGTATCCCGCATGCATCTCGGCGAGTCTTGGCCGAAGGTGTTTCCCAGTGGCTCATCGGCATCGACTGCTCTTGGGCATGTCATTAAATTTGCGAGGGATCTCGGAGTAGAGGCTAACCCAACCGATCTTGGTGGCACGTGTTGAAACGTGGTGTGGCTGTGCTATTAGACTACCGGCTAGAAGGCTGCTATCCGAGGTGCCTGTGACAGTGTTAAACCCTAAACCCTAAAGCCTAATTCACATATAATTTCTAATTACAACACTAGCGAGCCGCAGCACGCTTCCGAGTTCGTTCAAGCACTGCCTTGCCTCCAACATGGTCTGGTTTAACATAGGGGCCTGAATATTGACCTATACTGTTTGTTTTTTTGGAGGGGTCCTGATTATAACTATGGTACAATATACCCCAAGCCCTGTTCGAATTTTTGAGGCCGATTCCTTCTTAGATTGCCCGCCTGTTGCACAAGAGAATGTTTTTGTTTAATGAGGTCTCTTTTTTTGACTCCCCATGATGGCGTGCTTGAGTTTTCGAGCGCAGCAACTCCTTTCGGCTTGCTTCTAGTCGGGTGTTGGGTTTCGGGTGTCGAGTGACTGGTGAGACTGCATTAGGCCATTTCCCCTAAACCCTAAACCCTCTACTTACAGGATCAGCATGAAAGCCTGCCCTAGTTCCGGTCTTCTTCGTGCACGCTGATGCCGAGGTCATCCCAAGCGTCACGCCAAAGCTGCGGACCCCAAAGGTCTGTCAGTGCATGATGTGTTTCCTATTAGGTTCGGTTTCTCAGGCTTCAGTTTTACAACACCGGGGTTCGGGGCTTATAGCTTCGTAGAGAATTGGTGACGGTAATCGAGTTATATGCACGGACTCCCCTGATGCAAGCCAGGGGAGTATGTCCGCTACTGGGTCCCGGAGCTATCCAAGCTGCCGTTGCAGTACCTTCACTGCCCACATGAGGCCATGCTGCAGGATTTGGCCTTCCGGAAGGTTTATGACTAGGGGTTTGGGTAGGGTCAGTGTGATTTGTGAGTGGTTGTGCAGGTTCATCGTCTATAGGGGTGTTGAGAGCTTGAGGCTTGTGGGAAAGATTGCCAAGTATCATCATATCATGCAGGATTTCCAAGCAGGGATGAGTTCTAAGCCTAAGGATTGCAAACTAGGACGGGGCTCCTTCAATTCCATCCCTTTGACTTGCAAGCCAGCAATCATATATTAAAATCCCTTTGCTGCATCCAGCACGGATGTGCTGGTTGTGATTGTTGAGGCCTCGTGGACTGCATTAAATTATCCGCGCTGCTTGCCTGGGCAAGAGGTCCATGCTTGTGGATACCAACACAGTGCACAGAACAGGTTGCCGTTGACCTATGGTCCTGCCTCCTCAGACCCAGCATTACACGTGTCAAAGGTCAGTCGGCATTCAGGGTTGTTTCGGGTCTAGTGTTTCAACTACATGTCTCATATGATACAACATGGAATATGTAGCCCTAAACCGTAAACCCTTTGGTCATTCTATCTCGGGGTTATGGTAGTGTGATACAAAGACAGCAGCTCGAAATTCCGGGTAATCAAGACGATCACGCACTCAGTTGTTGGGGCCTCAGAAGGGTTGCTTTGAGGGTGGTTATAGGTCTGGAAGTCTTCGTGTTCCACATGAGGCCCCAATAACAGGCTCCTCCTGGTAAGGAATTCTATACTGTACTCGCAGTTGGAAAAGGGCCCTTTAAAAAACAAACTAAAATCCTAAATCCTAAACCCCAAACCCTACGAAAAAGGCCCTTAAAACAAAAAAACACCTAAACCCTATAGCATGTGATATAGAAGGCCCCCGCCGACGTCCTGGAAAAGGCCGGGGTCAAGCCTGGGCCTTGGTCAGCGCATTGCACGGGCCTTGGAAAGGTGATGAGACCCTATATGCATAACAGAATTACCCATAGGCCCCATAGTAGTTCCTTTTGGGGATTACCTTATAACACGGTTTAGGGTTTAGGGTTTAGGGATTATAGGATTCTAAATATGAACCCCAAAAAGGAACTACTATAAGATTTTGACATGATGGTTGAACCTTGCGGTGCGCTCTGAGCATGCATAGTCCGACTCATGCGAGCAAAGCAGAATTAAGACTAGGGTTCAGGATTTACGTACCGCTTAGGTATGTGGACGCGGAAAGCCTCTGACTATATCTGTATCTATATCCGTATCCATTCCTGTGTTTACAACATCTAGGTTTCTTTATCCACTATGTCCAAATCTAGACCTATATACACCCATGACCCAGTAACCAGCTTTGTGGCCAGCTGGGCTTCCAGGGAGAGTTGGTCTAGTATGCAGAAATCGACTTCAGTGATTCGGTGGTTACGAGGTAAGGGTTTGGGATTCGCCTTTGGAGTTTAGGTATAGGTCTGTCGAGTTTGTCAGGTGATCCAAGGGCTCAGGACTTTCAGGGTTTACGGAAACCTTCCGTAGCCCTGAGCCGGAGTTCATTGGCTTTCTGCTGCTAAGCATGTTTGGCAAATTGCCTCGATACCTCGGCGCCTTATAATCATCCGAGCTTGGCTTCCTCTCATACCGATGAACTCAAGGCTCTAGCTCCATCTGTAGCATGGCGTACCAGAGAGTCTTTGAACCGAGCCAACAGAAAGGTTTGGCCCGCTAACGCTCCGCCCATGTGAAACAGCCTTGTCAGAACTTCTGCTCAGCTCTAATGCATAGCCTGTTTTGCTCCAGCTGAGCTTGTCTCACGGGCGCTGGCAAAAGTTTGCACCTCCAGCTGCTACATTGCTTTACCACTTGTCAATCGCACCCCACGAGCAACTATGCAAAAAAGTTAGCATATTTAGTAGAAGCAGATATTTGAAGAGGTGCACCCAAGAAGCTTGCAAAGAAGCTGCACAGGGACAGGGGCAGCACGCACGTCTAGAATCTAGAAGCTGCAGCATGCGAGCTCCATTGCGGTTTATTTCAGAAGCTGCTGCAATCTCTCCGACTTTCGAGACATGCCCCCCACAGAGCAAGCAATGGCCTTGCCGCAGTAGGCATGATGGCCGCAGAGATGTTGCTGCCGCTGGGAATTAGTCCCTGGGCCTCCAAAACCGGTCAGTTGACAGCCAACGATGAACAAGCATTGTCTGTGGACTGACCCGCGTGGAGGCTGTCGGCGTGCGCAGTTGTCAAACCTCCTAGAACTTCCATCGCGATCACCATGGCTTCACTTGGCCTCGCGCTCCGAACTGATGTTGGTCGGGCACTTTTGATGTTCGCTGCCATGCTTGGGGACACGAAGATCGGGGCGACGCGACCAACGATTCAAGGCTGGTTCGGCCAAGGACTTGAAGGACCCGACCTCCTCCGAGCCGCAGCAACCGGCCAAGCCGACGGCGCAAAGCTGCTCTCGAAGGTCGGGGCGGTGCAGGACTCCTTGTCCGCGCCGGCTTTCAGGAGCAGCTCCAGGCACCCGAAGTGGCCATTTGCGGCATCGCGGAGCTCCGTCTGGCGCAGAGGCACGGAGTGCTTGCTCCTCATGGGCTCCGGCTTCCTTGTCTAAGCCGGCGTCCATTAGGAGCCGCAGGAATGTTAACAATGTGGTAACCCAGTGCTCGATGTGGCCACGTACAACACTCGAAGTCACACGGAGCTGATGCAGCTTCGGCTGCCTACAGCGTGGACTCTGCTAGACAAGCCATACTGTTGATTTGCAGAGTGTAGTTTTCAACTTGCGAAAGTGGATTTTCTGGTCTGAGCCTGAACAAGCTGGGCAGGAACCGCACACTGTAGATGTGTGCCGCCTGTGGCAAGCATGACTGTCATGGTGCAAGCGGGGATGCGGCTTGTACATATGTGCAGACTGGCTGAGATGGTGATCCTCATTATACTGCAGGCTGCCGGTAGCGGTGAAGGCTGTGATGAAGAGCTCGATCGGCAAGATCCGAAGCGTCAGCACGGTCACAGCTTGAACTTGAACCGTCGAGTAGCTTCCACGGTTGTGTGTAACGAAGCCCCATCCGAGAGCGGCGAGGCCAACAAGAAGTGTCAGCCAGGAACTCTTTTGGTCCTTGTCTCTGAGTCTCATGTCAAACAAATACCAGAGACAGTAGTCGGCTATCAAGCTACTTGCTTTCTACGTGCAGGACACCACCAATCCTAACCTTGGCCAGAAACCTGCATGTTGAGGGCATGTGCGGCATGAGGATTTTGTGTAGTAGGCTCATGCCCGTACCACGGTTGAATCAGTTTGAAGCCTCGGGTTTGGATAGCTTATATCTCTGCTCCGATGTCCTCCGAATCCAAATATGTATACATATATATATATATATATATGTATATACATATATATATATATATATATATGTATATACATATATATATATATATATGGTAACCCCCCTGGACCAACCTCCGCC